ATGTACATATAAGGTGCCAAATAACGGATGCTCGTAGGTTTGTTGAGACCCTCAGGACTATCATAAGGGATACCCCTAATAAGTAAATTATTAGGGAGACTCACTTGAGAACCGGCAACCCAACCAAGTGTCTTCCAACCGGTACCATAAGGAATACGTTCGAAACCGAAGACGCCATTCCAAGTGTTGGCAGTCACATACAACCTGTCGGGGTTTCCAGCTGCATATGCAAGGCCAGTGTACCCCAAGTACATATTATCATTAGCAATAACTCTAATGCTGTTGTAGACCAAAGTACTGATGACAATCACCCTCTCCTCACTGATGGCGTAGACTTCAGAACCATCAGGGTTCGCTTCTATGTCGGTAATCGGATGTTCAGCCAAAACTTCATAGGACGACAGGTCACATGATGTCCTCCACAGCCTCGACTTCCCATCGGATTGAGTACCAGCGATATACCAACGACCAGCATTATCAAAACTGTATGCCACCACATTCACATCCCCCATAGGGAGCATGTTCGGATAGTCACTTCTGTCTACCGAACAGAAGTCAGCAGAACATTGCTCGGACAAGCCTCTCAGTGCAGCCTGTGCCGTAGTCGGGATAACCAGGAGGAGTGACAGGAGGACGCTAATGGGTGCTCTCATTCCTTTGAAAATCGCTAAGATACTGTTTCTGAAAACAAAATCGATAACACTTCTACGACTGAACTCATGTTTGTTTTTCGTTTCTCGAACACTAGCTGAGCATGCTCCATAGAACAGGGATCCACGCATGAATTTGAGCTTGATTTCTGGAGCAACTCCGTAGACCCCCTATTGTACGCGCTGTGCATGGACTCCACACTGTGAAGGAGTCGTAGCTCGTCAGCAACATCTAATCGCACGCAATAGGTGCTGATGAATATCTGTGGGTTACAATTACGCTTCGTTGTCAATATGACTTCTGAGGTTTGATACTAATGCATGACCATCTCCACGCTTGACCCTCCGTGGTCTTAGCCTCAGCTGTCTTGTCTTTCTGGTATATTCCATCAAGGGCCCACTTTACTATACATGAGAGCGCTCGTAGGGCCAATCGATAGTCTTCTCCATGGTGCGCCTCAGTTGGGTCCACCTGCCCCGTGGTTTCTCTAAACCACCGCCATACGGGATTCATCGACACTCCTGAGCCGTTGATAAAATGTGTATTAAATATAATCATTGATGCCTTTTCCTAGCCGATGGGGAGAGCCCTGTGAGATATGCTTGTAGTCTTTGAGTGCTTAAATTTTGTTCGATATTATTCGTGTTTCTATTATATCTT